TCTCTCTCTCTCTCTCTTCAAAACAAATTTAAGTTTTTGTATCTTGTTTGCATTTGATAAGCTAACACCTGTGACTGAGATATTTCTTGATTCCAATCGGAATGATGAAAGTTGTGGCATGGTAGCGCCTTGTGTGTGGAAAAGCAATGTCAAAACACTCCTGAGGCAACCAAGAGTGTTTTCACAATGATATCGAAGAACGTCCCATCCGTGGAAGGTTGAGCAAAGGCGCAGCTCAGTGCACACACACTTGGTATGATCTGGGTATGATCTCTACGGAGTGGCCCAAAACAAATATAAGGAGAACCACCCAGGCCCCAATTGTTTCCACCTCAAAACTTGGCAACGTTTGTGGAAACCATCAATCGAAGTCAAGTTCCCGATGGTTACCCAACAGTCGGAATCTTCCCCCAGTCGGATATGGTCTGGGACTCAGCGTTACACCTGGCCGTAGCAACTGGGGTAGAAAGACATAGATAGATGACATACAGGTGTACATAAATGCAATTTCAGACCACATGCCTGGTAAGAGGGCATGACGGATCCAACACTACTGCAAAAACCTTTGCGAGGCTATAGATTTACGTTGTCAATATAGACTTGCGCTGATATGGAGTCCACAACTGTTAGCTGCTTCTAGAAGAGCTTTCAGCAACTTTAGGGTATGCTGTTCCACCTGACTCACACACACACACACACTTGGATCTACTCATCTGGGTGGAACAGGAGCACTTGTGGTGAAAATCTAAAACACACACACATACACACACACACACACACACACACACACACACACACACACACACACACACACACACACACAGAGTGGTTTTGGGATTATGGTACTCTATACACTCCAGAGGCTAGACAGCAGAAGGGGGCTGTCTAGCCATGGAGTGATAGAGATAGTGGTGGCGTGGGTCGTTTGGGAGAAATAGGTGTGCCAGTGCTGCCGTGCTTGTGGGCTGACTTGGAGGGCTCTCCAAGTTTTTTCAGACTGTTGCCGGATCGGGTCGGTGCTTTCTTGCTGGTGGAGCCTCCTTTGCTAAGTATGTTGCCTTCTGCCTTTCTGCCCTTTACCTTTGTTTTTATAGATTGAAAAAACTATATATTTGTGCAAGTGTGCCGCTTCAGCGGCAGATGGGTGTCTGGCCACTTCCCGCTCAACCACACAAACGTGGGGAACCTCGCACCTTCTATTTGTTTTTTCAAAATACAGTCTGTCTTCCCCTCATATGGCGAACAGCTGTATTTAGCTACCCTATTTTCTTCTCTCAATGCCTTACCTTCCTTACTTTACCTATCTTTTTGCCTACCTACCCATCTCAGCATGCGACCGATCCACCCAGGGTAACCCAGCACCACAACCTAAGACCACCAGGCACCAGACACCCCAAGGGCAGACAACAGGCCGAGAGACTATGGACTAGGGAAAGTAGCCAACTAGCCTACTCTATGCCCAATAATTGGAGGCGCGTACAGTTTTAAATACCCTACCCGAAGCTAAGCTACCCTACGGTTATGGGTCTATATCTACCACTCTCTGCTCAGTGCGGGGAGCAGTACCCAGGCTGCTAACACCTGGCGTAGGCCGGAACAACGTGCACCTTCTATTATATTGGTCATCTATATGTTTTTTGTTCATGGATGGTTTGTAATGGTATGTGGATGTGGATGTGGAGAGAGAGAGAGAGAGAGAGTTTGGCGATGTTGACAAACACACACACACACACACACACACACACACACACACACACACACACACACAGTTTCTCAGACTTTCCATTCTCGTCAGGGGTTTGGATCGACAGTCTGCTAGGATTGCAGGATTGGTGTGAGTAAGGAGGACCACTTTTCTCAGGGTTATCGCTAACTCTGGGCAACTTGATGAGTCCTTATGCATCAGTCAATGCATCCTGGAGACTGTCGGGTTCAACCTCCTGATGAGTCGGTGAAAGTCAACAACAAAGCTTCGCACAGTCATGGTTTTATTGTGGAGACGCGTATAGCGAACATGACAACACACACACACTCACACATACATACACACACACACACACACACACACACACACACACACACACACACAGATATATATCTGTCTCTTATACACATCTAGATGTGTATAAGATAGAGGAGCTAGAGAGGGCAGCAAAGAGCTTACATGCTCCTCGTGCCACCCTGGTCACCGTCCTTACCAACGTGGCCCGCGCGTACCCCCAATNGAGAGAGAGAGAGAGAGAGAGAGAGAGAGAGAGAGAGAGAGAGAGAGAGAGAGAGAGAGATCTAACTCACCGAACTTGCGGGCTTCATAATTGGCAGATGAAATGTCCCCAGTTCCCTTTGCAGAGCTAGAATGACAAACCGCGACCGGTTTGCCTTGAAGCTCAGGACGAGTTCGGATTACCACTGAGACGAAGAAGCAGTCCTGCCACGATGCAGCCAGAAGGATCACATGCACTTCACTTAGCTGTATCAGCTACAAAATGGCCATCCACCCAGTTCATGTGGCTGAATGGTACACAAATGTGACTGTTAGTAAACAGATCATTAGTTTGAATTTGGTGCCACTGTGGAATGATTTGGAATTGGATGAATAGAATAGGGCCAGGGGATACCCTTTGAATTTGAAAACAGAGAAATGGAATAGAATAGGGCCAGGGGATACCCTTTAAATTTGAAAACAGAGAAATGGCCTTCCTGCACTACCTAAATGGCTAAATGACTATGCTCTGGCAAAATCTAAGTGACCAACCTGCAATACTCAATTGAGTTACTGGTCAAATGGTCAGTTAATAATTTCAATTGAGTTAATGTAATTAAGTTAACAAGTGGACCTGCCGCAGCCACGCTGCGGTGAAGGACGATGACAAAAACATGTTTGCGAAACACCCCGGGCATCGGTTGGACCCCATATTTGCAATATACCCCTATCAGACACCGTCCAACTTTGCAAAATTCCCCGGTAGTTGCCAACTTTTCGTAGGTGCAATTGCAAAACGCCAAGGCCCAGACGGGGAGGCTAACATTGCAAATTTGCACACGCGGCCGACAGGGGCACAACACAAAGATGTCAGCCCAAAAGGCCATTCCACTATACCCAGACCTTTCAGGGACATTTTGAAATATATCTCAACTTATGGGAGTATTGGCAAATTACCACCCCCCCCAAAAAAGGCCGATGGCATCTTTTCAACATTTGGAGGAAGATATTCCAGTCTTCTCTCTCTCTCTCTCTCTCTCTCTCTCTCTCTCTCTCTCTCTCTCTCTCTCTCTCTCTCTCTCTCTCTCTCTCCGTGTGTGTCTCTCTCGCTCGTGCGCGCTCGCACGCACATACTTCCTCCCCCTTGTGCGACCTCCTCTCCCTAGTGCGACCTCCTCTCCCTAGCGCGACCTCCTCGTCCTCCCTCATGGCCCCCTCCTCCCACTCGCACAAACTCCTCCCCCTAGCGTGACCTCCCCCTCCCACTGGTGCGACCTCCTCCTCCCGCTCCCGCATGACCTCCTGCAACCTCTCATCCCAACGTGCGACCTGCTCCTACCCCTCCCATGACCTCCTCCTCCCCCGTGCACAACCCACTCCTCCCCCTCTTCGGACCTCCTCCTCCCCCTCCCGCACGACCTCCTGCAACCTCTCATCCCAACGTGCGACCTGCTCCTACCCCTCCCATGACCTCCTCCTCCCCCATGCATAACCCACCCCTCCCCCTCTTCGGACCTCCTCCTCTCCCTTGCGCGACCTCCTCCTCCCCCTCACAGGACCTCCTCCCCGTCCTTGCGCAACCTACTCTTCCCCCTTGCACATCGTCTTCCGACCTCCTCCTCCCCCTCACGCAACGTTATCCCACCTCTCTTTTGACCTCCTCCAGCTCCTCCTCCTCCTTGCGCGACCTCCTCCTCACCTCTCACGTGTCCTCTTCCGACCTCCTCATCCCACCCGCGCGACCTCCTTCCACCTCCATTCCGACCTCCGCACGACCTCCTGCAACCTCTCTTCCCGTCCTCCTCGTGCGACCTGCTCCTCTCCCTCGCACGACCTCCTCCTCCCCCTTGCTTGACCCACTCCTCCCCCTTTTTCGACCTCCTCCTCTCCCTTGTGCGACCTCCTCCTAGGCTCCTCCCCCTCTTGCGACCTCCTGCTCGTCCTTGCGCGACCTGCTCCTCCCCCTCACACATCGTCTTCCAAACTCCTCCTCCCCCTCGCGCGATCTCCTCCTACCCCTCGTGCAACCTCCTCCTACCCCTCGCGCGCCCCCCTTCTCCCCCTCACGCGACTTCCTCCCCCTCTTCTGTCCTCTCCCTTGCTCGACCTCCTCCTCCTCCTTACACAATGTCCTCCTAATCCTTGTGCGACCTTCTCCCCCTCACGCGTCCTCCACCCACCTCCTCATCCCCCTCGCACGACCTCCTCCTCCTCCTTGTCGCGATGTCTGCTTCCCCCTCGCATGACCTCCTCGCACCTCTCTTCTGACCTCCTCCTCCTCCTTGTCGCGACGTCCGCTCCCCCCTCGCACAACCTCCTCCTCCTTGTGCGACCTCCTCATCCCCCTCGTGCGACCTCCTCCAACCTCTCTTCCGACCTCCTCCTCCCCCTTGTGTGATGTCCTCCTCCCCCTGCCAACCTCCTTCCTACATCCTCTTCCCTCCTCCATGAATTCTCGTCGTCTGCCATGCTTATCGTCCTCCTCCTTTTCGTCCCTCTTTCTCCTTTTGTTCCATCCTCCTCCTCTTTCCTCCATTCTCATCGTCCCCTCGCTCCTCCTCTTTTTCGTTGTTCCTCCTCGTCCTCGGTGCTCCTCATGCTGCCTCCTTTGTTTCGATCGGCCCAAACATGCTTCTCCCTCTTCATCCTCCCTCTTTTTCCCACCCTTCCTGCTCTGAGCGCACACGTGCCACATGCCCCAAATGTCTTTCTCCCTCTTCCTCCTCCCTCCTCCTGCGTTGATCCTCCCTCGTCCATCACATCTTTCCATCACCGCCCTTTTCCATATCGACGCGACCCCCGCCCGGCACCACGGACTGGCCGGAAACAGAACTGAATGGGGGGGTTGAAAGAAAAATCGTGGCAGCGGGGAATGGGACTTCGTGTCCTCCCGACACTGCAGAGCGGGGCGTGTCGCGTGGAACCACCACACCGAATTTCCCTCACTCCCGCCCGCAGTCCCGCCACGAAACGCCGCGGCCGATGTACCTTGCCCCAGTCCCGCCCACCTCCACACCGAATTTCGCTGGGCCCAGCGGGAAGCGTCACGCTGGGCCATTTGCATTCTTGAAGAGTATAGAGATGCTCCCAGGATCTCTCAATTGAGCAAACTGAGAGAAAACTTAGAGAATGGCAAAATTTAAAAAGCACAGCAAGAGGGAAACAAGCCAAACAAGCAAAAACCTACAAAGAACATGGACAAAGAGTCGACACAGTTCAAAAATTTTCAAAACAATTCAAATGTCCTTGAATTCGCCCGCTTATTGTTCCCCTCTTTCAGCACTTCTTCCATGAATTCAACTGTTTAACCTCAGGAACTCTACATTTAACCTCAGGATCTCTACATTTAACCTCAGAAACTCTACATTTAACCTCAGGAACCTCGGAATCTCTACATTTGATCTCTTCGCACGCATTGCACACGCCGACGGTCGGCGACCGGCCGGTCGGCACCTACCGGTCGGCGTTCGTCGGCACCGCGCAAAGAAAATTAAAAAGAAAAATCCTTTTTTTGGTTTGGGTCCAGAACAGCTAATAACCACCTAATAATCCCTAATAACCCCACCAAAACCCCCATACCCGCAATACCCTCACACCGCCCCCCAACACCCCCTGTACCACCCCTACACTGCCCCCCCTCCCCCCCCTCAATCCCCAAAAGTTTCTCAGCGGATTTGGATTGTAATCAGCAAGCTCAGTACAGCTTCCAACTAGGATTTGAAAAAAAATCAGTGGATGGCTGTTTTCTGACTGGTCGGCAGACTGCCGACCGGTTGGCCCTACTGATCGGCTCCAAACCAGTCGGCGGTCGGTGTTACGGACCCAGCCAGGGCTCAATCCCTGGTCCACGGGTTACCACCCGTCAGGCTGCTATTCCATTTTTTTGGGAGTCTCTGATCTTCAGTTCCTGACTGTTGGCGCCCTCTGCAGTTCGCGCCCGTTCTCAAATCCCGCCCCTGCCACTTTCGGATTTCGTACTTGGCGCCATCCGGCATTCTGGCGCCCAGGCTCAGACCTTCGATTTTCAGTTCAGCCCCGAGGCGAATTGCACTTTTGCTCTCGGACTCAACTTGAGTCCGGTACTGAAGACCGGACTCAAGCTGAGTTCGGGGACTCAGTTTTCGGCCTCAGTGCTTGTGCTTCAGTGTGACTTGCTGCGACATTGTGTACGGAACCAAGATTGCAACTTTGCGACTTTGCCACTTCGTGTCCGTGTCTGTCAAGACGTGTTGAGTCCGTGTCGAGTTGAGTGAGTGTGCGTGTGTGTGCTCTCACTCCCTCCCTCTCT